TCTTACTTCTTCATGATCACAGCAATATACAACCTTGGATGCACAAGTTCACTTTACTGTGACAGTAAATATAAAGATTTATTAAGAGATTTGCCATAAAATGCAAAAGATTTATTTTTGTTTTAAAGGGCAACGTAAGCCGCATTAGCAAAAAAAAATTGTTTTCTAAAATATTTGAGAAGCTAAAAAAAAAAAACTCTGATACTGAACAAGAAAAAATACTATAGTGGGATACGGCTCACCATTACGTACTATACACCACTTTGCTTAGCATAGTTAAGCAAATATATTCAAAACAATGCGTTACGTGGGTAGCAGCCCGATTCGAACTGGTTTCAATAGCATTCATCCTTGGAACAAAACACATCGATGTAGCAAATGTCAAGAATAAAAGACAAGGAGTCGGTCAGACAAGTTTTAAAAATTTCGCCGAAATATATAAAAAATTTTAACGTAAAGATTGAACATATGAAGACAAGATGGACAGACGGACAGACAGACGAGTTTGGATCAATATAAAAAAAGGACTCTGATTCGATCACTATAATAAAACGTGGATATGTCTGTAGGCGTTCTAGAATCTTAACCTTACGCTTGCACAACAAGTGCTTTAGTTGTTCTATCGGCATAGAAATAATGTGAAGTTGCATAGCAAAAAAAAAAAAAAAAAATAAGTAAAAACATTGTAGTCTAGCTAGGCTGACTATTACTTACACCATTACTAGACCCTATACCATTTTGTTTAGTGTAGTTCTTCGCTTGTTAATATTACACCAAGAGTACACATTACAAAAACTCATTTTGCCGATAAATTTTGAAAATTGCAATTGGGAGCGATCGGAAAAGTCAACCGATCCGAAACACTTTTAACAGTGTTCGTTCTTGAGCCAAAATAGGTGTGTGCGTACCGGATTTCATCAAAATATCTCAAAAATTGCAAATTGTAGTTTGAACATAAAATGCATGGACAGACATCGGAAGGATAGGCGGAACAAACAGACTTAAATCGATTTTAAATCATTTTCTCAATCGATCGATATAATAAAAGGTTGGTCTATCTTAACCTTTCGTGGATGTTGCATACGTCCGCGCTAACTTAATATACTTTGTGCTGCTGCCAAGTGCTGTAAGGTAGAAACTCTAATAACAGTTAAATAGGATTAGTCATTATACACTTCGCGTTTCATCTGCAACACCTGCCTACGAAAAGTTTCTGACATGCGATGCAAGCACGCAATGGGGGAGAAAGCAAACAGAATCGATCAGTACGAAATGTGCGGTCTCACCGTAGCCACTCCAGACCATACATGCCTATTTAGTAGTTTGCCAAAAATTGCTGAAAACTAGTTGAGAAGTTTGGATGCATACACCGTACCGTTCCGACCTTGCCCCATTCGACCGCGTGTTTCACTTAGAGCAAACCACGGTGTGAAACCTGTGAAAGCGGCTTCGTGTAGTTGTTTGCTCAAAAATCCCTGAAGTTTTGAAGGATTTTCCAAAAATGGAAATTGTTGCCAAATTGTTGTCCATCACAATAGCTTATGTCAGTATGTTATATGATTTCATGCAAATGACATTTTGTTGCAGAAATATCACGACGTTCTTCCTTGGCCATATATAATGAGATATTATTTGATGCATATATCTGCACAGGTTGTTGATGCATAATAAATGTCGATTCGATCTTTTTTCTTGTCTTTATATGGGATAATGAAAACTTGACTTTATCTTAAAAATACTATGGAAATAAAATTTGCATTTGAATAATGAATGCCATTATGAATTCATGAACTATTCTATTATTAATTTCAATAGTTTTCTACGCAATATTCATAAAAATAAGTAAAGGATATTATGATTTTCTCCACCAATGTGTGTACATGTGCATGTGGCAGGCCGACAATTAAACACATCAAGTAAAGTATGAAAACAATGCACATATACAATAAAACAGGTAAGTCGATGGATAACTGGCAAAAAAAGAAAAAAAAAAAAAGACTGTATGCGCGTTGGTTGTGGTTGTGGTTGTCAAAAGTAAGCTTGGCTCCTTGGACATAAATTTAACTAACAAAGGCGAGTTCGTATGTTCTTGTCATAAGGCAAGAGGTAAGCACTTACGCTCATTTCATCTTATTTAAGAATAGGACTGCATAGACGTAACACATACGCCCTAAACGTATAAAATAAAATTAGTTTTTGTTAGACTTAATTTTTACGAGATGCTGGATTTCTCATTGCAACCGTTTACTCTTCATCAGTTGTTCCTTATATATAAATTAATGAAACTCTTACACAGCCATACACAGGTCAACACAAAATCTATATATATGTTTATACATATGTTATATATATATATATATATATATATACAGATATATGTGTGTATGCGTGTATATAAATCTCTATACATGCACATAAATTATATATATATATATATATATATATATGTGTGTATAAAACAGGTTCGTTTTCTTCTATAAATTCAAGAAAACATTTTAACGCTTGACTGAAGATTTAAAGAGAAATCAACGTGCGCCAACAGTGTAAATAAGCTTTAACGTGAGATATCTCATCTCAGCTCGTCATTTTAAGCAAAGCAACGAAACAAATCTCCAGATATGATTTACATGAACATCATTGCCGATTCATCCATTGGCCCCTTGTTGTAACCCCTCAAATAAAACGGCAAAGGTAATAGCAACCGCAACAGCAACAACCGCAACAACAACAACAACAATAACAATAAGAACAAGAACTCTATGCGCTCTCCCTAAAAAAAAAAAAAAAAAAAAAAAATTCACACTTGGTCAAAGTATTTGCGGTCAGACTAGCATTGTTAATTACTGTTTGCACCAAGTTGCTCATTAAAACTCAAGTACAAAACAAACTAACATTAATGAGCGCATCACACAGAGTAAATTCGCTCCTATGTATACGCTGTCCATTTATACGTTGAATCGATCAGTCGATAGTGGTGATGTGAAAGCAAGTCTAGACTTGGACGAAAGACCTTTTTTTTTGTTTTTTTTTTTGTTTTTTACACAGAAAATTAGCAACTTTCGTGCAGAAAGCAAAAGCATGTATTTTATATTATTATTATTTTTTTGTTTTTTTTTTTATCTTCCTTCTAAGAGTAATGATAATAAGTAATCATCCTTAAAAATGAAAAGAATTTCGTTTCTCATTCGAAAAACCTGAATTTTTTTTTCTTTTTTTTTTTCTAGTATTATTAATCCATAATAATTAACCACTTCTTCTTATACGCTTTTTTTACGGTATGCAAGCAATATTGTTCACAAGGAATACAGGCTGTCATGCAGTTAATGTATAATTTACCAATTACTCGAGGACAGTTAACTAGCTTGACAAAGTATGCTGGAAAGCATTCGTTCGTTCTGAAAATACTTTTTTAAAAGATAGAAAAAAAATTTTTACACAAACCCTAAATGAACCACCTATTCAACTATTTTAATTTACTACTCGTACCCCCAAAATGTAAACAACAATTACTTAAACAAAATTTTAAAGAAACAAGAAAAAAGTTTTTTTTAATTTCAATTAAGTTGCAGTGTACAATATTTGATTAACAAAGCGAGAGAGAGAGAGAGAGAGAGAGAGAGAGAGCGCGCAAAGGTCGATTCGTTAAATACATTGATCGATATATTATAGCTTCTATACAGTATAACGTATTTATCTCAAATAACTAAAAGCCCAGTCAGTAACGAGTAAACTCAACCGCAATTTGACAGCAATTTTACGATCGAAAGATTTTTCATGCGATGGGACAGGCAAGAAAAATTCGTATAATCTCGAGAACAGTCCTTGATCGACAGATAACGGGTTTACTCAATCGACTTTATTCGGCATCCAAAACCATAAACGAGTCCAAGACATTTGTATAGTCTATCGGCCCAGCATACTTACAACTGTGTTCTGAGCAACAGCGCCGAGACACGACAAGTCGCGAGGCGTTTTTGTTGCTTTCTGGTTTACGCCATTTGGCAAAAACATTTCGTGATGAAACTAATATCAGAGCATTTTCTTATGATGATTCCTTCGGAATATTTATATTCTTATAAAATCAAAGCAAGTTTAAGAGGAATATAAATCGTTTACTTTTATGATCAGTGACCGATTACAACCCTAAGGTATGCCCCTTAGCCTTATAAACTGAAACTGCCTTCATCTTATTTGTGTATAGGTTTTTAGCGAATGTTGATGGATTTATGTTTATGAACCGATTTACTTGATTTTCGATGGCCTTTTAAAATTGTTAAGTCTTAATATAGAAAAGCGGAAGAAAACAATTGAATGAATTGATTATTATTAACGAAACCAGGGACCAATCTTAACGAAAATGGTAAGAAATCTTTTGGGGAATGAGTTTATCATTCTGGCGGAAATACAGAGTTCATAAAAAACTCTCTTGTAAGTCGTACAAGAGACTGGCAAACGGATGGACATACAAGACCATTCACTTCGTGATTGAAATTTGAATCAAATTTCAAGATATTGTTGCCATTTTTTTAATGAATACCATTGTCATTATTTATGTAACGCATACAATATATACAAACTTGTACTGCTCATAGAAATTGATTAAACCGAAAATCGTAAATGATTACGGAAATAAAGATTATTGCCCCTTTGATGTAATGAAATGAACTCTGATGCTCTGATGAAAGCACTTTTCCGTGTACAAAATTGCTTTGCCTTTGCCATCATTGGCGAAGCCTAAGGAAACACGATAACTAATCTTTTGTGGCAAAAGTTAAACAAAAAAAAAAAAAAAAAAAAAAAAAACAGTTATGTGACGACCCTATACAAACGGATAAAACACTTTTCCACTTTACAAAATCTAATGAGGGATATAAAAAAACTTTTTTTCTTTTTCTTTGTTTTTTTTTTTTTTTTTAACAACACCGGCAACATTTGATTAGAAGATGATGGTAAGTTACCAATTATTTGATAAAGCAATGTATATATAAGAGTAAACTCACCTGTCTGACTTGTTTGTATTGTTCTTCAAAACTCCAGCCATTATTCTGTTGAGACGAATTTGATGTATCGCTTGATGCTGACGTATTAGAAACGGGATTCACTAAAATGAATTACGAATTTTAAATATTTCGCCTTGAAAGTTAACTTTACAAAAAGTGCGATTTCAAAAAGATATAAATATTTGTACGCATAACTGAAATCTTATAAACGCAAATGAAGAACATACGTGCCTATAATTACGAAAGTCGTCTAAGTCGTATATTTCTTATTTCGAGATATTTAATGAATCGCATTTGAATAAATCAAAAAAAATATTTTTGTATTATGCTGTGAATTTTAATTTATAGAATTTTATTAGTCTTGTTTAATGAAAATTTTTTATGAATTTCTTAAAAAAAATGTTGTTCTTCAAGTTTGAATTGACTTTGATCATTTTCAAAATCAACTGAATGTCCCATAAATAACTTGAAGCAGTAAAATACTGTGAGTTTTATTTGAAACAATAATTTTAATGAAATAATTTGCAAACATTTATTAATTATTTTTAAAATGTAATCAATCTTATTCTAGCATATGAGGCTTTTATCGTTACGACTTCTTCAGATTTTCAAAGTATTTCTGAAAAAGTGAAGGGAAGTATGGTATGGTAATAAACACATTATATTTTTATGCTTTCCTTCCGTTACTGGTCTAGTAGTGGTGTACAATGGAAATAGTTTAATATTTCCAGATATTTTTGGTCTTCCCCTTTTTAGGTGAAGGATCCAAAAAGTGGAATTTAGAATCAGCTAAGAAAGTTTTACAGATCACTTTATAAGGTTCATTTTTCAAGAGATAGATTCATCCGCAGTATTTTTTACCCTTCTTATCGTTGGCTTTTCTAGTGATTTTGTCAAAATAAATTTCAGCTGTGGCATTCGTTTTACCGAAAATGTATTTCCTCTTCCACACTTCTCTATGAATTCATAATAATGGTTACAATTGTAGATGTAAACTGCTTATTATAGGGGTATATTCATTTTATCAAAAGACTTGCAATGCACAGAAGGAATATATATATTCTTGATCATCATCAAATCGTCTAAATCGATGTAAGCATGTCCATATGTCCATTTGTGTAATGTGTATTGTCAACATTCTCGTGGCTGTAAAAATACATTGACTTCAAATTTGTCAGAAATATTGGAAGTTCTTGCACGCAGGGTCGTATCGGTCGAAGGGCACGCCCACAGCACCACGTAAACTGAGAAAACGTCTTTTTTTATCGGAAGATAGGAGGATTTCCAAATTGGTTTTTTGCTCATTACTGATAAACTATAGCAAATAAATGTAAAAAATTTGAACGCATATTCTACGGACGATGCTGTACCTACCACGCCTAACCATTGTTGTAGTGTATTATTAAATTTTAATTAAAATGTAATTTTTAAATACCTTTATAACGCGCAGACACAAGCTTCAAAGACCTTATAAAGTACATAAATTTTTGGCCAGTTTAAAATTTTGAATCCACCTAAACATATCCATCTGTCTGTATGCGCAACTGTGTAGTATTTGTGGTAAACATTTTCCCGTTAGCAAAATGTACAAAAGAATTTGGAAACGACCTAAGCTTTTCACAGGACACGCCCACAACGCTCACACGCCTATGCAACAAGAACATTTATTTTGAAAGTAGAAAAAATCAGCAGCGCCCGATCCACATTATAAAGAATGAGAACTTAATGTTTTCACTCGATTCGGGTTCGGTCACGGGCGAATGTAATTTTCTTACTTGTTCTGTTTTCGTTTCTATCAACCCAAAATCAAGGTTACTCGTTAGAAAAGAATGACCAAATATCAAAAAATTTATGCTGAGCAATTTTCATCCATGTCAATGTTAGTTTACTGTTACAATTTTGGCCTGAACAAGCATCACTATAAGCTATGACGTGTTTTTGACCACTTATATCCTCCATATGCATTAAAATGCATGATGCTGCTTACCGTGGAATGTGTTGTCATTTCTGTTATTGTTTGATTGTCATTTGTCAGCTTATTCTGTAGTTCAGAAAGGCATCAAAGAGGGCCACGCACCATTTCAAAACTATGTTCATATGATTTCTTTAAATTTTTGATTTAGATCACTTTCATAATTAACATCATATGAATTCCATATAATGTTGATATTGCAACCACGACCTAATGAATCTTTTTCATAATGATATCGTAGAACTTATATTAAATTAATTTAATTCAAAATAATGTGGTGTGAAATAAATGATAAACTAATTTTTTTTTAAATTTTATCTTAGATCACTTTTATAATTATAGGCACATGTACATATCAATTCTATTCATTCAATACATACTTCTATGAATTACAAATAGTTAATAAACTTAAGGGTTAAAGACCCTTTGTTTTCGTTTTTTTTTTTTTTTTTGTTTTTCTACAAATTTTTTATCAACTTAAACATTAAATATATTTAAAAGAATGGTATTGAAAAGGATTTATGGCGAACTGAATTCTTTATGAGGCTGGAAAACTCCAATTTTTGAGTGAAGTGAAAGCATAAAAATTCCTGAAATGGGCTTCAAACTATCGCTGCTTAATACCTTAATGCGTAAAAATGCGTTTTTTAGCAGATTCCTTGAAATAAACAATTTTTTTTTTTAGTTAAAAACAAAGCCATTCTTATACCCTACCCCACTTGTGGTGCAAGGCTATGTTAAGCTTGTGCGTCTGTACGAAACACCCAGAGAGAACTACCTCTTGCTATATCAATCCCACCAGAGTCATTATATGAATCTATTTAAGCTTATCAGTCCATCTATCCGTCTTATTTTCTTGTGTTCAATCTATAGCAGCGATTTTCAAAATTTTTTATGGCTATTGGTCTACTAACTGAACTGATTCGTACTAGTTCTTCAATTTTTTCCCCATATAATGTCTGATTTTGAGAAGTTGCATACGCTTATTTATAGGGTGGTGTAGGGTACATAAAGCTATAGCGCTTTTACTTGTTTTAATCAATATGTTTAAAAAGCCTTACGTTTATTGTTACAAGGACGTTAAAGCCAAAATTTGCAGACAATCAGTTGAGAATAATTTTAAATATTTACAACGAACGCATATACGTATATAAAGAATTAGTTTCCAATATATTGAATTGTCTTTCGTATTTTAATACAAAAAACTCGTCCAAAAATCCGTGCTCACAAGATAGCTTTACTATCCTTTAACTTCCTGCTCCTTTTGCAACGCATAGTCTCCTTGTAATGATGAATTTAGAATTCCTAAGTGCATCGCGGTATCCGTCAAATACAATTTATATTGAAGGTAGTTTTTTCTTAAGGTGCCAAGTATGGTGTTAAGACAAAGGTCAACCATGATTCGATTCAATACATTTTAAAATGCAAGATCAATTCTTTTAAAAAAAAAAATCTTTGGAACTAACATTGACAATTTTGTTGGATGTAAATTTTAGCCAGTTTTCATGTTTATATTAGGTTGGAGGAAAAGTTCTGTCGAATTTTAAATAGGCAGGTCATTTTTCTTGTAAATAAAAAAACACCTGCCTAGTGAGTCATTCGGTTTTTTTTCTGCTTTTTTAGCTGCTGTATAATAGAAGAGGAGTCTTTTTTTACCGTTCACCATTCATTTGTGATATTTAAAGTGAAAACCATGTCAGTAAATAAAGTGCATTTATGTCACTACATTTTGTATAAATTCCAAAAAGGAAGCAACGCATCGCTTGCAGGTCAAAATTTATGGGCGGTATTTGCAAAAGATATTGTAAATGTTCGCACTTGTCAAAGATGGTTTAGCAAATTTTGTTCCGTGGATCCGAGCTTCCACGAAAGTGATCGATAATGATGTTTTGCGATCCATGTTTGGAAAATAATCCACATTTAACAAGTCGAAGAAGTGCATGAATAAAATGCGACAGAACTTTCCCTCCAACCTATTAATATGCACTTATATAGCATTCGCAGTGAAATGTGCAGTAAGCCGCTGCAAACACGTTACTATGGGGTCTGCATGTGGGACTTGGCCATCCGGATCGGTGTCAATCTTTACAAGTTTATTTTATGAAACTCAAAAATTATTTAATTGAAAACATTCAAAACAGAGCGTTATTCAATAATTATTCAATATCAGTGCGATGAGTGAAAAGAAGAAACCAAATTTAGCCATCTCTGATGCACTTGGAATTACGTAATGAAAAAATTATTGATCAGACTCATCCGAAAATATTGCTATTAAACTTTTATCGCCTGACAAGTAAAAACCATACGGTCGGCCGCAGCCGAAAAATTAAACCAGCTGGACATATAATCTATAGCATCCATTACGTATACATCGCTATAAGGAAATTTATTAACATCAAAGCTGGACAAGGCGTTCCATTAAATCCTCTACACCGGTTTGCTTAAAAAAATTATTCATGGTTTTTCAAACAAAAGCGTTATATAGGAAGTGGTTGGAAAATTGTTGTTCGTCCTTGGCGCAAAACACGCCGTTTTACTAATTCCGTCGAAAGATTTTAAAAATTTGTGACCTTTACGTAGAATACAAGCATACAAGACGAACAGACGGACAGACGAGATATAGAAATTTTATCAAAATATCTCAAAGCTACGACTTATATGACGCCTATAAGACTGCAAGATGGACGGACGGATACACAAGCTTAGATCGTTTCCGAATTTTTTCTGCATCATTCAAAAATTCATTTCGAATCGATTGATAATTAAAATATGGGTCTATCTCAAGTCCATCTGGATGTTGTATATAATTATGAAAACTTAATATACCTTGTAGCAGGTATAGTGTAGGGTATAAAAATATAATGGGCCCAATATAAAGCCAACAATTATTTCTGCTTAATTGATAGAATTTTGCCAAAGTGCTTTTAAAAATTTCAACGGTTCGCAATGCAATTATCCGCTAATAAATATGTATACGCATAAGAAGTTAAGTTAAGACTTACCATCTTTTGTACTAGGAGCGGTGGGTGATGTAAATGAGAAGTTGCTATTATTACTATTGCAGCCATTAAGCATTGAAACGCCACTTGACGTTGAAGTTTGGATGGAATTAATGTGTGTATTGCACGTTATAACGTTGTTACCGGACTGAGCAACTACACCTTGAGGTACGTGACTAAATGGTGGCATTGTAGTTGGTGGCATAGTAAAAGCTGTAGTAATTGGGGCAGGTAGTACATTTCCTCCGAAAGCAGCCGCATGTACGGCATAATCTTGTTCCTATTAAATAAAATTCAAATCACTACAAAATTTCCAATATTTCTGAATGATTGTACGCATAATTATATTTATGTACAAACCATTAAACCAACTTTCATATCAGGAACTTGCATTTTTAATTTCTCCAAGACATCGCTATGCTGCAAATTTTGTATACTATGCAGGCCTCCAATACTTATAAAATCACGTAAAGCGTTTAACGGATGATTTGATGGAAAATGATGATGATGACTGGACAATGCATGTATACAATGTGATTGCGATCGGTACACCACAAGGATAGAGAAACACAGACAGAGAGAGAAAGAGAAAGGGAAAGGGAAAAATTAATTACAATTGATTATAATTTTTTGGGAAAATTTTTATATATAATAATAATAATAATAATAATAATAATAATAATAGTAATAATAATAATAAATTAATATCATTATAAAGTTACGCACCTCATTGACATATCATTGGCATGGTCTACGGGAGTACGCCGACCGACGGCGCTATATTTCATGTTACCTCCGTTCGATGGTAAAGACGTATTTAAATGCTCGCTACGACCGATATGTTGTTGCTGCTGCTCTCCTTCAACTGAATCACAGTCACGCATTTCATCATCCGTATGATCATCATGTGACTATAATAAGAGTAACAATACAAACAATAACCGCATAGCACTCTTAAGTGTGGTAAATGCAATGATATTAATTTGTGACATTAACTGCAACATGAAAAGATATTACAACAACCATTTATTTCCTCCTCCTTACGAATATATATATATATATATATATATGTCTACAATTGCAAATAGTCAGACAAAGTAGAACGAGTATCTATAGATATGCATAGTAAAGCAAAAAAAAAAAAAACAAAAAAAATTGCACCGAAAACGAATCGCGTCATACGTTACGGACAGAGAGTTAATGCCATGTAAAAACATTTGTAATCAATGCAGAATCCATCGATCGATCGATCGATTGAAAGATAAAACACATATACAACAACAATAATACGTTGTAGCGTTTCTTGCCCCTGCTGTGCCTACATGAGTACACATTTTTCATGATATTGCGCTACATTTGGTGCGAATTAAAAAAGGCAAGAAAACGTGATTTGTTTCTAGTTTGGCGGCTATAGACGTCATTGTTAGAAAACTCGACCATCTAATCCGACTAAGCAGGGTTTTTATGCAAGAACTTTATCGTACATTAAAGTTTGAGTTATGTCAAGCGATTATTAATGAAATGGTTTGAATTCATAAAATCGAAGAAAACAATTTACTTTTAACTATATCTTATAAATAAATATTGAATTAATTTATGAAAAATTGCATTTGTCTGCGTTGCGTTTATGCGTGCATTGGATGTTAGCATTTTGTCTGCTGCATGCATATAGAAAATGCATTTGTTAACTTTTTCGAAAGTCCTCATGGATTGAGGACTTTTTGCTGGAGGCGATCGTATGAAGAAGACATGCTTTTTGGATTTATTAGTATGTGGCTTAATTGAAAAGTCAGTTCATTAAAAATTTCTAAATAAATGGTATCCTCCAAGTCACCAAAAGTTGAGATCAAAAACTTAACTCAGCGTAACAACATGCTCCCAAAGGCGCAAAAACATAAAACATAACACTTTCAAATGCAAATTTTGTTAACATCAAAATATGACCTGAAGCACATACGAAATTGAAAATTGAATTCAATTTTTATTAGAATCATCAAAGTAAACAGTTTATAAATCACACCATGCACACTATTTATTAATACATTCGCAATTGAAAAATATCTGCTTACGGTAAGGATCATTTGAGGCGTTCATGGCGAAAGTGGTGCAAGTCTATCTTTCGTTATTGCGTGATATTTGCATTCACAATTTGGTCCTGTACCGGTTGTGGGTGTGATTCTATGCTACTTGGCTACATGCGTTCTTTTCCTTCTTATTTGTTTTATTGTAGTTATACTACGTTTTAATATTAATTAATTTAAGATTTACTTTAAGAGTCAATTGAACTCGACTGTCAAAATTTTTAGTTGAGTTTCTTATATAAGTGGAATAAATAAATAAATAAATATAATGTGCGTTATTCCTCTCTTCCTCGATGTCAATGATTAGATAATGTAGGTTTATTATCTAATAGAGATTTTAGCGCCGGGTAGGAAAAGTGAAAGTTGCATTATAGCATTATACAGACGTGCCTCACTTTCAAAATTGACGAGCTACGGTAATCGACGATATTTCATTTGTTGCTGCCGCCTTATGCGCTACTCCTCTTGTGAAAGAGAGTATACTAAGTGTGTGCGTGTGTGCGTGTGTGTGTGTGTGGATGTGTGTAATAGCCAGAAGGATTTAAGATCGATTCATAATCATTTTCTGAGTCAATTTAAGCATGTCTGTCCGCTTGCCAGTTGAAGACCGTCTATGTGCCAGGTCGTATTTCTTGAGATATTTTGATGTAGCTTGGTAGACAGTGGTGTGTGTTTTGAACCAGGGAGCAAACCTTACTGAAAATGGATTGGATCAGCCCATTTTTACGATCACCCCGCCTTTTTTTGGATAAGTGGTTACATGAAAAGTAATGCAATATTCGAAACTTCGCGACAAAAATCCCCGAATGATCGTATTTCGGCATACTAAATTGATATGAAAAATCGGGATCGGATGGATCGTTGTCTTGAACTCTCTCCCATATAACCGTTTCTAAGAAAGATAAGCTATTATATGGCAAAACTTTTAGTATTTCAAAACACTAATTATTCCATAATAGAATTTGTTAGTTCGGAAATTTCTTGCGATTTTTCGCTGCATAAGGAATCGGGAAGTTATATATTTGACATTTTGTTTAATAGTAAGTTACCGCTTATCAGGGAATTTCATTATCCCATCCTTGTAAAATTTCAAGTCTTTATACTGCAGACAACGAAAGAGATAGTAACCTGATGATGAAATTGCGGGACTATATGATGGATGTGAAGATACATCCTAGCCAAGCTCTAACAATTTTTGGCGGCTGAGGAAGAAATATTGATGTCTTGTATTGTCGTGATGAAAAACCATATTTTGTTGGTGGACCAACTCTGGACGTTCCTAGGGCAAGTTTTCATTTAATTTGCTTAGTTATTCACAGTTCACTTCTGTATTAATTGTTCATGTATTGACGATGATCTATTGCGTCGCACATTTTTTTATACGATCCATTTTTCTAGTTTTGTCTAAAGAGCATATCGCATAGTGCATTATGTTAAATGAATTTCTTTGAAATCGAATTTATTTATCAACTTGCACATGAAGCTCAGATAAAATAAATCAACAGTCGAATTCAATTGACTCTTAGGAATAAATCTTATACTAGTTATCATTAAAAACTAATACAATGCATATAATGAGAGGTAAAGAAAACAAATAATAATAATTTGTGTATAAATCAATAAGAAAGAGAGAAAGAACAAAAAGGAAAAGCATGTAGACAATTAGCACAATTGTTGGATGGACTTTAAAGAGTTGGACATTGAGATTAAGTGATAGACACCATTTAGATTTCTGCACACAACTCTGAACGGATTAAACAACGCATAATTATGTTTGCATTGGCTAAACTTAATGAAGAGGAAACGATTAAGGACAGTAAAGTTTCAAGTGATGGTAAGGACATCAGAAGCAACATATATTCATAAGGTGTGAGCGAGGCAAAAGAATCCCAACCCAAATTCATGAGAGCAATCGGCAAGAGTTGCTTCTGAATGAGTTCAATTGAATCTACATAACGCCTGTAGGAAGGAGACCGGACAACAGAGACATTCTCATGTAACTAAGCACATGTATAGCCTTTCTATAATGTTAGGATCCTTAAGCCCTTGGAATACGCTCAAACAATGTAGGTAAGGCACTCAACTTGTGTTCTCAACCTGTCTACTTCTCAACGCGATGTCTATTCCCAAATTTATGAAGCGGAGTAAGGACTTCAAGAACTGATTAAAAATCCTTGAAATAACATTACATTGCTCGTCAAAGCATGATTTCAGTATATATCATGGAATGCCATCGGGTTCAGGCGCACAACAATATTTCAGTGACCTCAAACCACATAAAATGTTGTTTTCTCAAATGATCAAGTTAGGAATCGGAATCGAATTAGTGATCGGATGCGGATAGTTAACATTTAAATCGGATTTAGCGGTTGAAAAATTTCTTCTGAAGTATTCAGTGAGGAGATTTGAGGTCTCAATATCATCAAAGGGTTCAGAGCCATTGAAAAAAACATGCGAGGGATACATGGAGACTTTTCTTTTGAAGTTAATAAACTCAAAAAATGTTTAAGAACAACAAGCAGCGAGGATTTTATCAACTGAAGGTATCTACAATAACATTGCTGGTTGAGGAATTAAACCTATTGCCTGCAGCAGAGTCACAAGAAGAACAATTTTTCATAAATTTTTTGAAAACTTTCTTTTTCCTATTTTTGTAATATTTAATCGCATTGGTAAACCATCGCAGATGCCGAGGTTGCTTGGTCGGAACATACGTAGAAATAGGACTAGGCTTATTATTATGATTATTATTATTATTATTATTAATATAAATGTAGCCAGAGAATAAATTCTAAGACTAAAGTCTTAAAGTACTAGCATCTAAGGGTTTCGGCTTTTATTAAAAACTCTACGGCATTTGAGATATGAACCCACGACCATTGGAGTGGCTGGTCGAGTCTCCTGCCTACTCGGCCTTTCAGGCGAATGGGGAATAGGCTTAATACATTATAGAACGAATGGAGTAGGATTTCAATATTCCCAAAAGAAAAATGGAGCATAATGTGTGCAAGATGAGGCCGAGTAAAATATTGGTTTTATTAAAATCATAATATTTATTTCCGGCAGTTGGATTTGACAAATTAGAACGGTTCAACGGACCATCACGATTGTAGTGAAAGGAAATGCAAATTGCTTGATGATACGGATCCTCAGGTAAGCTAAAAGGTGAACAGTGATTTACAGCTATCTCCGGGGAATTGACAAGGCAAAGATCAAGCCTTCTGTTGCTACAGTTAGGAGTACGGTTGTATTGCAGCGAACCACGATCAAGTAATTCATTGGAAATAGATCCATCAGATGTTGAATTGGGGACCAATACAGCCAGAATTATCACTATGAACCATTGAAATAGTCATCCTACATCTGTAGGTCATCCGAAGAACTTATTGAGTGTTAAGCTACGTATTCCTTCGCGACTGGAGCTTTTAGTTCTATTTTCCATGAACTTACTATCTTTCCCGTAAGATTTGGCGCCAACACCTCCATCATTCAAATGTTAAGGAATATGAACTATTTTGTCAGCAAATTATTTCTCGATATCTAATATTGCCATTGTATTCAAAGCTAAATATTCCTTACATTTAAAATAAATTGCAAGAGTTTCGACATATATTTTTCATATTTCTATTTACTTCAAATCGTAGCATCACCTCATTCTCGGCTCGATATGCAGTTGCGTCAACTTTCCAACATCCTTTTCCTTGTAACATTTAGGAATAAGTTTCATAGGACCTCGGAAGTCCTTTTATGAATGAAGCGCACAAGATTTAAATAAGGTGACCAAACGCCAAAATCAGTATTCGTTTTTGTTTCTGAGTGAGAAGGCTTTC